CATAGAAGACCAGGCAATAGCAGTTACATCAGGCTGTTATGTTACATATGTATGTATATATATATATATATATATGTGTGTGTATGTATGTATGTATATATAAGTTATATGTTTGAGTTCATTAGAAAATTATTATTTACGAATGCATAGGCATTGCTATCGAGATAAAACTGATAAGCATTAGGGCAGCAGAACTTTTTAAAGAAATTTCGTGTCTTGTGGTGTTACAATCCGATGTTTTTCATTCTATCCCAAGTTTGATTAAGAAAAAATTTGTAGACATTAAGAGGATTCTTGAATTAACTAATATCTCGATGTTCTCTCTCTGGCTTAAATTATTCAAACTATTGATGATGTCGTTCAATTGTATCGGAAGATTCAAAATATGATTCGATGATATTCGAATGTGACATTGGAAAATTAAATTTCATCTTATTTTAACAGATAGGCCTCTCCACGTTTCCTTCGAAATTTTTCGTGTCCTCTTTTTTCTTCCACTCTTTTATTAGCAAAGTCCTCCTGTTTAGGTTTACTCGTAAAACTAATCTTTTTTTATGCAAAATTTTTTCGATATCTCACTTTTTATTTACTAATTATAGTTATATTAAAAAAAAGTGATTATCGGTCTTCTCTTTTGTTTCACACATTAACTTTTTTTTATGTTTTTCCTATTTTCATTCTAAATACAAGGGCAATAATATATTTTCGCTATATTCTTCTCTTCCTATCTCGAAATAGTATGAAGATATTATAAATCTGTCATTTTATTATTCCACACACTTATGTCTAATAATATGTATTTATTAAAACTGCAAATATTAGTACTATAGAGAAATCTATGAAATCTATGATATATAAAATGACATCTTTCTATCATTAAAATCATGCTTAGAGAGATGGATGATTTCATCACAGTTTTTTTCGTATTTTAAAGTAATTAATTGATACGACGAAGCGGTTGTTCGGAATTTAATAGTCAATTTATTTTCTAATTAAGACGAGATTGATTGACATAATAAAAACCGATACCACTTTGCATGATATTTCTGAAATAATAAATTTCTGAAACAATAAATTAAAGCAACAAAGCGTCCATTTTTGTTCGGAATCTAATGCTTGATTTATTTTCGAACGTGCGCGACTTTGTGCGAATTCTGCGATTGAAAATAAGCAAATCAATATCCTTTAGCAAGGATCGCATTTTGAGTTAACGAATTCAGGATAACAAACAGTATTTTCTAAGGGGCCTAACATATATGTCATTCCTCCGGTTACAAAGTCTCTCCCAGCCGCGGTTATAAGATCAATTAATGAAATATCAAAGAATAAAGTTATATTATTTTCAATAACTTTTATGAAGTCTTAATTCTTTGGTTTTCACTAGATTTCAGATGTTGCGTAACGATTGATTACCAGGCTTGCAGTTTTGTTTTTGTACAAATAAAGCAATATACGCATGTTTTCTATTATTTACAATTTATTTTAATTCTTATTTTAATATTTATTGTCATTCAAAGATTCCATTCCGTTTCGGCCTCTCGACCGAGATTAGAAAAGCGCTTGCTAAATGTTTCAAAGATTATTCTTGGCCAATGATATTCTATGAATGCCGAACGAAAGTAGTCGAATACTAAATAAACAATGCTATGTTAATTAAGATATATTGCTTTATATATAATTATGAATTACTGGATTGTGTTCTTATATACTGTTCTCGCTATCTTCGCGTCAACAATTGTCACTAAGTTTATACTTACAATTAATCAAATGATTACCAATCAACGGCAAATAAACTTGTTATAATCATAGAGAAATTAATAAACCTTATGTTTGAATGCACTATCTTAGGCGAATGTTTTTTGAAGTTTAAGGAATAAGTATGTGGGGTGGTGTAGGGTTATTGGAATTATGAGTGGTCTTTAGTTTACATCGTTTATTCTGTGAAAGATGTAAAAATATCGCACGATGTTCGTGTAACGTGTATCATGATTGTTGGGCTATTGGAGAAATAGAAATAGTTAGGCTAGAGTGCTTGATTCGCGCAATCCGATAGCTTTTCCTTTCTGCACATTTGCCTGCTCCTGGTTTTTGGACATCCTTTATGGCCGAGAAAGTCTGTTATGACTGATACATAAAAATTGCGATATTCCTTTGAGCTTCATACGTGTTTTCTCGAGACTTTATTATTTTCACACGTAGAACGATGGTCTTGACATAAATTAAAAAAAATAACATTTCCATTAGGAACGATAAATTGATTTTTATTGTGTAAAATTATACAAGAGACAAAAGTCGTCTGTATGTCAAACATTGCGATGAACTAATTTGAATACTAATTTTAAGAATACTTACGTTTTCTTGTTAACTACTTCATATATATAGATTTATATTTAATATAGGGAAGGGGGGGGGGGGGGAATTAAGACCAGAAAT